CAGGTATATCCCTAAGGTGCCCACTTCTTCACCAGGGCCCATAGTACTTCAGGCATTCTGTCCTCCTCCGTTCCAGGAAGTAGGCCAAGAAAGGCTTAATCTGCTCTGTCCAGTTCGAGCATGGCGTATGGCAGATCAGCTATTTGTTTGTTTTTGGTCTACCAAAGAAAGGATCTCCGGCGACCAAGCAGACCATGAGTAGGTGGGTGGTCGAGGCCATCTCACTAGCCTACGAGTCGTCTGGCCTCCCATCACCTATGGGGGTCAGAGTGCACTCGACCAGGAGTATGGCGGCCTCCAAGACTTTCAACTTGGGTGTGGCTTTGCAGGACATTTGTGCTGCGACGGGCTGGTCCTCTCTGCACACTTTTGTCCACTTTTACAACCTAGACCTGGCATCTACCCCAGGTTCCCAAGTTTTCTCTTCGTGATGTGCTCGCAAGATACACACACAGGCAGGGGCTTGGTAGTATGGCACAGTGGGTATTCTCGTTCCCAAAGCGATCTCGACGCAGCTCGAGTTCCTGAAGGGGAATGTCTCTAGGTTACGTATGTAACCATGGTTCCCCGAGGGAACGAGACACTGCGTCTCTTTGCCATACTCCCTGCTTCCCTCCAGGCTCTACTTCATCGAAGCTAACTTGCGCTGTGCCGGATGTGCTTTTATACTTCTTGGCGCTCACATCACCCCGCTCATGACGTCTCGCTGCTCCATTGGAGTGACTTTGCACGTGCTTCAGAACGCGGTCACGCAGGGGCGTTCCAAAAGCGATCTTGACGCAGCGTCTCGTTCCCGCGGGGAACCGTGGTTACATACGTAACCTAGAAACGTTTTTTCTGTGAGGCGTATTTGGAGTTTCAGCGCGAGAGCGCCCTCTGGCCTTTGGATGGAGATTTACTGCTGATCACAGAACCGTGCTTTACTGAAAAATATGCATGACAATCGCAGCATCTGTCGAATCGCAATCTCGATTCCATTTCGATTTATCGTGCAGCCCTACCAGATACTTCTCATTTATCTTTCTATGTTATGTGTTTACACTCTTAGTCTACAATCAGACTTCAAACTAAAGTGCCCATTTCTGATCTTAACTCCTGTGTAAAAAAAAAATAAATAAATGTATTAATTGCTATGCAGTCATTGAAGATCAAAATACAGACAAAATACAATCTGATTTGGGGAACATTCAACTGTAGCATCAAAATGTATTTTATTTTGATAGGTAGCCTATACTTTTTCGAATTAAATATTACATTAAAAACGAAATAAAACAAAACAATAATACAAATAATAACAACATTATATAATAATAATAATAATAATAATAATAATAATAATAATAATATTAGCTAGAGCAGTACAACTTGAATTGTTGAAAGTCAAAGTTTTTTTTTTTTTTTATTGGGGCAGGATAGTAAAAATACAAAATCAAATAAAAAAACACTTTAGTTTGCATCAAAACCCAGAAAAATCTCACTTGGTAATAACATCTGGCGCCTGGAAGAAAATAAATATATATATAAATTTAAAAGCATATCTACTCTAACTCTTATAAATTTAGTTAACTTTAAGGAGTACACTAGCATTTAGACCTCACAGCTAACAGGCATAAACAAAAAAGCTACAACACTCCAGTTTTGATATAATGGGGCCTCAGAAGAAACATGTTCATTAGTCACAGTAATATGCATTGTATTATTAGTAAAACTTAATAAAGAAGACCTATTTATAGACACTTGTATCCACATATTCATTTGTATAAACACAACATATTCCACCTCAGAACACCCAGCAAGGACTTACAATTGGCGATCACATGCCTCAATAGAGATATTAAGCAATGACAGAGAGGTTACATAATTCACATCGGTAGGCGACTCATAAAAGTCTTCCATCTGGAAGTCACTACTCATTCCCAACAACATGCATCCCCATGCAATAACACTGGCACATTTGTAAATCTCATATGTAGCTGCAAACGGCCTGTTAGATTATCTGTCACTTTTAGAGGACAGAACTATAGAGAATGAGAGAGAGAGAAAGTGAGAAAGAAGGCTAGAGAGGGAGGGAGGGAAATGGAGTTGGTCTAACGGCACACCCCGGAGGGTCCTTGCTCAAATAATTCCTCTCAAGTCTCATTTGTTTAGCAGCAGACCCGGTGTGGTATTAATAAATGCTGCCTATTTCCTTTCCCCTTGATGCACATTACTCATTATTGGAGATCACCATTAAAATGGCATAAACATTGTTTCAAAATTGGACTCCACCTCATTACGTCTGTTTTTATAATGTAAAAATGCATAATATTAGCTTTAACATAAAATATTATAATGTACAAATGCATATAAATATGTAAATCATGTCACTAACATAAAAAAACACCTTAAAGGGGTCCTATTATGCTTTTTCATTTTTTTCATTTTAGTCAGTGTGTAGTGTGTATGTTTGGGCATATAAAAAGATCTAGAAAGTTACAAATCTCAAAGTCCACTCCAAAGGGAGATATTTAGTTTTTTTTAAATCCCTTTTCAAGAACTACAACAAACGGCTCGTCTGGACTACAGCGTTTGTTTTCCGGGCTTTGTGATATCACAAAGCGGCTCATTAGAATTTCATTACAAATAATTCCCGCCTACAGAAACTCGAATGGTTGGGGGGTGGGGAGGGGCGAGGGACACTGTGTAGGGACCATGTCAATTGGAACACAGTTCATGCACGGAGCGCACTTCTAACAAGATTATCTGAATCAGGTGTGTTAACAAAGAGAGACGTGCAAAACATGCAGAGCGGGGGTACGCGAGGACTGGAATTGAGAAAAGCTGGTCTAGAAGAAATGTACAAATATAACACGACGTAGCTGGGCGCCGCGGACAGATGCCGAACGGCGCCGCCGGTGTGCCTACACTCATAGAAAATAATGTATTTGTATTTTAAAGACATGGCGCGACCGCCTGGAACGCTGTTTTTTCACCTCCGTGCCCAAACTTCTTTGTTTGGGCTTCCGAAAGCGGATGAAGGCAGGAAACATGGTTGCAATTTACTTTTTAACTCTGTTCCTGAGCATTATAACCCCAATTTGCTATTGTGTGCTGCGCATTTTACTGAGGACAGCTTCCACAACACGAGTGCCGGATTCGCCAAAAGTTTTTGTTGAAAGACGGAGCAAGGGGGCGGGGCAGTACTGAAACACCGTCTAATGCCGAGTTCACACTGCACGATATTAGCTCGATTTTTCACTCGCCAACAGGTTTTGCGAAATCGCCGACAAATGCCCGACATCAGAGGCAAATCGGTGCTCGTTCACGCGAGTGACAATCACACAGTGTGAATTAAGTAGTATTTGTTAAGATTATGTTTTACTAGAAAATATTATTTCAGTCTCTCTACTTCAAAATTTAATTCAATCTGCTAATGTGAATGGAAATTTTTTCACTCAAAATAAATATATAAATATTCTTTATATTAATTTGTTAAAAATAGTAATACCTTTAAGCGTGTGCATGTGTGTGTGTGTGTGTGTGTATATTTAAGTCTGCATTTAGCTAGGTAAACGTGTGTTCGTGTGATCGGTGTGCATTAATGCCTCACATCAGTGCTTTTACTACATTAGCTAAACACCACACCATGCATGCCAATTAGTTTATCACACACACACACACACACGCTCAAACAAACACACAACAATCAGTATGTGGTTTCTTACAATACAGAAATTAAACATCCTCATTTCCGAATTCCACTCCACACTTCACCGACTTGAAAAAAGGCATCAATAATTAAGAGTGAATCAATTATTACATTTCTTCCTCCTCGAACATTTTGTATTTCTCATGCAGTTAAGTGTGCACAAAGCAGAGTGCACACACACAAGCGCAGCCATGCATGCACCTTTGCTCCATCCAATTGCAGCCCATTCGAGGGGAACCACGGGCTTAAATACTTGCATTTTAATGTCACCCAACAGACCTCGTTGACATCACGTCTGAGACAGAATGGATTAGTATTAAAGGACAGAAATCTAACTGCACAACATGCAAGTGTTTACAAGTGTCCGGACGTCTCAATAGGGTCAGCATAATGAGACAGAAGTGTAGCCACACACAATAAGGATGACAGACTGTAGATGTTAAATTGGTTATCTAAACAATTACCTTAAATTGAAATGACCATGGTCTCTCTGCGCATAATTAATACTCTCAGAGATGTGTTTGTATGCAGAATGAAAATGATCTGGCTGCATATCTAACATCACTGCGCACTGCTGTCGGTGGGCAGAGCTCATTTCACACAGAGCCGCTGATATCCCCACTCATAACCAATCAATGTTTTGTTGCATTTAAACATGCATTTGAATAGATCTGAAAAACATGCAAAGTGTTTATATGCTATTCATAATGTTGATCTATGCATTAATATAACTAATATAATTATGACTGCGGACAGAATCATAGCACACCTGAGACCCTGACCATGTGCTCCTGAAGGTAATGTTTGTTGCTCTCTCTCTTTTTCTCTCTCTATACCACCCAGCTTCACAAATGCATTATCTAGGTAGCTGATCTTAATCTGTTTGTGCGTGCAACTCATATTAATTGTTTAAAGGTGAGTTTTCTCTCTTTGGCCAATAAAAAATGCATCCTCTCCAGATCGATTGTTGTTGCTAGGAGACAGAAGCATCCTGAGGCGAGGCAGCATCCCAAACGCCAGATGTGTGTGTTTTCTACTACAGCAACGGCACTATTTCTCTCTCCCTCTCCCTCCCTCTCTCTCTAGCTCTCGCTCACTCTCTGATGAGTGAGGGCAGTGTTGCCAGCCTCTCTGCTTCGCTCCCCGCGTGCGGACCCACACAAACGGAGTTAAGGAACAGTTTGAAATACGGCAAAGAAAAGGAAAAATGCAAGACTGCAGACAAAAGGAATGTTTAACAGAGGTAATGCATTTTTTCACATAGAATATTAAATGAGCATTGCTGCGGTTCTATAATACTGAACAGATGGAATGGGAATGAATGCAAAGAGAAATTATGCTGTAGATAAGCCAAAGTACAGAGGTGAGCATCATAAATCAGGGCTGATGTGACATCATTCATTTATGGGTACATGGTAATGCATAAAAATGTAGGCAAAAACACTATTCGCAAATATTTTAAACTTGTATATGGGGTTTAAAATGTTTTTAAAAAAACTTTGCATGCTCCTAAGCGCATCCCAAGCATGTGTCTAAGAGATGCGTCTTAGTTTACACAAATGCCACGCGTAAAAGTCTTTTTAACCACTTTGAATTCCAAGATGAATCAAAACTTACTGGGTAAAATGTTTTTATATAGCTTATGTATAAGTCTTACTCATAAAATTGTCTGTCTGTTTTGTGTGAATCGATCAAGAAAACACTACAAGAAAAAAAAGATAAACGCAAGAAAACAGTGCTCCAAAACATGGCAAATTGCACGTTGAATCTGACTAGGATACTCCTGGAAAAAAATGTCCAGAAGTTTTCTAGGACCTCTGGGTCTTGCATTTATTTTTTATAAAAATATCGATGTACATGTGGTGGTTTAGAAAATCTGGAAAAAGTGGTAGTGTTGCCTAGTAGTGAAAGATCTGCAGCCAGGGTTTTCTTAGCTACTGGTGACTGAAAGGTTGCAGGTTTGAAATGAATCATTCTGTCCTTGATCAAGACACATAATCTTTGATATCTCAAAGAGGACTGTCCTCATCCTTGTACCTTTAAGTTATTTTGGATAACAAACATCAAATAATAGACTCACTTGTAATTAGTCTCTTTTTGCATCCTTGCAGTCAGTTTCAGCAGCGGTGTGGCAGCTGTGCTTTAGGCTTCACCTGGATCTGTAACATAACCAGAGAAAAGACGAGGATGATTCATAATTTATTGCGTCGGGGTTCTGCGCTGAATTTTAATATCTCTGTTGCGTTAGGTTGGAGCAATAATTGTTACAATGAGATGTGAGGTTGTAAAGCCTGATGATGTTCTGACATTCTTCACGCAACAGAGGTGTGGCTTTAACTCGTTTGGAATGATAATTAGCACAAGTAGTTAATCTGGAGAACACTACAGAATAGAGTACACACATGTAAAGGGACTTTCACTTCAACTCAGCCATTGATAAAGGCAAAGAATGTCAGTCGTCCGGGGTTGCACTGGAGAGTGTGCGTCATTAAAGGTCTATAAATGTAATGATCCACACGTTTTGGATATATGTTTCTGAGTAATAAAAACTATTAAAAAGAAAATAAATAGTTTTGCCTTTTTAGTATTCTTCTACACACACACACACACACACACACACACACACACACACACACACACACATATATATAAATATACAAAACATGCATTTAATGTATGGTAAATACATAAAATACATAACAATATACTAATTTATTATTAATAATATAGTAATATAATGTATAAAATTGTGTATAATTTTTCATAAATTGACAAAATAGATCAAATTATAATTACAATTATACATATATACAGTATATAAATATATATATAATTTTTTTTTTATTATGTCTGAGTACATATATAATTTTTTTTTCTTTTTAATAGTTTTTAGTATATATATATATATATATAGAGAGAGAGAGAGAGAGAGAGAGAGAGAGAGAGAGAGAGACTGTCTTGTTTTTTTAAGATGTTTTAAAATGATGGTTGAAAACCAGTTGACAGTGTGTGGATTGTGTGAATGTGGGTGCGCTAAAGAAATCATTGTTATTGGACTGTAGGAGCTGGCCTTGAACACGCCAGACCACCCTGTTGAATTGCCTGAGAGTGTGTTGTGTGTAAAGCTTACAATGCATGTGTTCTATGACCATGCATATGTGCATGAAATTTACAGCTTCTAATAAAAATGCACATGTTCATGCACACAATAGCGTTTGCTAATTAGTATGCGACAAAGTTGTTATTCAAACTGTCTGCTGGGATTTGCAAGATTTTATGCATGTGTGCACAAGCGTGCTTTTCTCCATAGGCATGCATGTTTGTGCATCGGGCCATTTGTGTACACACGTGTGCTTGTGTGGAAGTTTGAATTAGTAAGATGCAGGATGGCCTTGTATAAGACCGGACCGCTCTACATTTACTGAATATGATGCAGTAAAGTGCTGTGCTGTAATAATTAGCCTTTCAACAGTGTGGTCCGCTCAGCGCATGTAAATAAGTTCTTCCACAGCCCAGCGCGCTATAACTAGACTTGCACATATGCTTGGCTATCCGTCAGTCAGATGAGCGTTAAATGAGACTGAGATCTCACTCTATTACAGACACATTAGAAATCACTTCTAGATGATGACAAAGTAAACAAAGTAGCAATGGATTTTTTGCTTTCGGGCGATCGCATTCTGGACCATGTCACCAAACACATGTATTTTCAAACAACCCAAAACATGCAACAAACAGCATTACAAGTCCAACCCAAAAATGGCAGGCATGTAAACCACTGTGAACACAGCTGAAGTATCTGTGAGCTCAGTGATGCAGATGCTGTTTATCTCCATAAGCGTTAAAGCATCCTGAGTGCTTATATTTTTCTTCCTCCTACGCATGTGTTCTCTCTCCGCTTAGGAAGTCTACCTTTGTTAGACTGCGTTTTTCCCTGCGACGAAGCCCATGGGTGCAGAGCTCTGTTAGAAATTCTGCTTTAGTAAGAGACTCCAAGGCCCCATCAAGCTTTCAAAAGCCTTGCCTTCATATTCATTAATATGGAAAGAGTATGGAGCTGAAAACTAAAGATGCCATCACTGCGCTGTAATATTCTTACACACATAGCACAGGTATGCTGCATGGTTGCACATGCATGCAAACACGCACTTCCAAAGTGTTTTCCTCACCTCGACTTGCTAAAATATGAAATTTGCATTGAAAGACATCGTTGTGTAAGAGTAAAAGAGTAGCGTTAGATCATAATGAGAAGAATGAGCATGTCAAATGCATCACGCGGTGGCGGCCAGAGTGTGGCATGCATTCCTGCTGAAAGTGATTTTATAAAGTAGGCTAGCCTCTTCAGACTCCTTCAAAACAGCAATTCTGTTGCATAAGTCATGCATCAAATCAATAAAGAGATGTTTGAGTGTGTCTGTCTGTGTGCATGCAGAGAGAAAGAGAAAGTGATATGCACAGATTTCAGCAGTCTGGCAGTCCCACTCGCTGCCAAGTAAATCCATTTCTTAGTAAAAAGAACAGCTTTGTAGTTTTTTTTTCTTTTTTCGGTTTTGGAGGAGCAGCGTTGTTGCTGCAGAACACTTCTACACTCTACAGAGTGCTACAATCTCACATTAACCAAGCAAACTGAGATGCTAACACATTATTATGATAAAAATATACAAGTACAGAATGCTTTTCCTAGTGCAGCCTAACAGTAGGGGGTTTCAATTAAGTCGATTAAGTTTAGGCTTAAATACTGGCACAGATTCTTTTGCTGGAAAAACAGATACAAGGGTAATACAATAAAGAAGTTAACAACCTTTCATGTGAGAACATTTCATTCTTCCTCCAGGTCAGATTAGTTAAACTCTTAAAGGGACAGTTTACCCAAATATGAAAATTCTCTCATAATTCACTCACCCTCATGTTGCACCAATCCTGCATGACTTTCTTTCTTCTGTAAAACACAGAGTGTATATTTTTGAAGAATATGCTGGCACATGTGGCTTGTTTATTTTTTATTGAAAATCTTAACATCTAACCTACTGTAGTTCTACTTTGCGATTCATTCTTTTGAGTCTGATTTTTTATAAATTAATCAGTTCACAAAACCGAACTGAATGATTCATTCCCAATCCCAAATCAGACTGACCCGCAGCTTTCAAGTTCAACTCACTGACTAGTTGTAAGTCCATAAATTGCAAAGAATTATAGGTACGATATTTAACATTTCTTCTTCTGTGTTCATTGTCATGAGTTTGGAGCGACATCAGCATGATTAAAAGAATTTTCATTTTTGGTTGAACTATTCCTTTATGAAAAAATGGTTCTACATAGCACCAGATCAGGGTTCTTTGATAGGTAATATCAGAACCCTTACTGCTGAAGTGGCATAAAAAAGCATTAACAAAAAGGTCATATGATCAATTTCTAGAAGACTGAAACAACGGTCAGAGTCAGACACTTCACATAGTTCTGTGTGTAAATGGCACAACACCAGCTTATATTCATGGTCAACTCATGGTATATGGTACATGGATTCTTCTACATCAAGTTCTGGAATTCATAAATATACTCACATGACACATGGTCTGATTCATTGTGCTGTGGAATGTAGTTAATGTCATTTTACTAAGCCAAAATAGGCTAAATAGAAAAATAAATAATGCTAATATTAAAATGTTTTCATGATAGGGTTTTTTTTATTGGCATGAAATCTGTTTCCGTTAGATTCACCCAGTAGGTCTTGTTTACTAGGAAAACCCTTGTATATACAGCATATAGTTCAGTTTTGGGGTAGCAATGAACAGGGGATTCGGTATCTGCCTTAAAATGTTGAGTGACTGAAACAGACTACATCTGAAGTGACAGAGATGTTAAACATAGCGTAACGTACATCTCTTCTAGACTGGAATGAAGACTTTCTAATGATAGTAATTACTGACAGGAGGGATCACAGTTTGACTGGAAAAGTTTGGGCATGTAGCCCAAAATGAAACTAACTACTTTGTCTTTTAGGAGTCTACTGCTGCTTGTGTCAGAAGATTTATCTATTTTGTGTGTGACTAAATAAATGATGTGTTTTATCAGCTTCAGCCTATGGCTCCTGACAGCGCTTCTCTAAGTCGCCACTGCAGGGCCACTTCCCCCGCTGAGTCACAGCATCCTGACATACACTTTAACTCTCTGCTCTCTCCGGCTTCTCTGAATATCTTAGTCCATAGAATGCGATTAATGGCGAACTCACACAACTCCATTTTA